CGGCTGGTGCCATGGCTAGCAAACTGCTTGGGCGCTTGCCAACCCCCGTTATCTATAGCCAGTGCGGCGTCGTCAGTAAGCTGACTCCCGCTAGCGGCGGCGATCACCAAGCCACGCCGAGCACTGAGCGACGAGCAAGCGAGAAACAAGTACCGAGGTGTCCCCGGGAATGCGTGGCAGGTGTACCCCCTTACCCCCGGCGGTCTCACCCGCATGCTGCCGTGTAACGTCACGGTTGCAATACTTGATGCCCTCATCTTCCGAGCCAATGGCCGCCCGGCCACATGTAGCTGATCCTACCGCGGCCCTGCTCGCACTGGCCCTTGATGGCAGCTTATCTCTATCCGCCCCTCTTTTGTTGGGCGTCGAGGGCGCACCATCAGCGCCTACTGGCAGGGTCCATGATGGGTCAACTATCGTCGAGTCGGCGGCCTGCATGATCTAGACCTGCCGTGCGCCATCGCACCCCCGGCGCCGGTTGCTTACATGGCCTCCGCGACTGCAGTGTGGTTTGTATAAAGGACGAGCAGGCCTAGGACGGTGGGCGCACTGGTCTGTTCTACGCAGGCACGAGGCACGCCATCTGCACACTGCAGGTACTACAGATAAAGTACCGGCTTTGTGGCTGCAGAAAACCACACTTTCGAGTGCAACGGGCGTGTTAAGGAGCGCTCGATCCCGATATTCCGGCAATCACCGTTCCCGGAGGCGCCGCAACCATGTCGGAAAAGAAAGAACCCTTATCTCCGCCAGAAGTGTCGCAGGCCGAGTCGATCGAGGTGCCCATGGTGACGGTTGAGGCCCAAGGTTTCGACGAGCACGCGACGAAGCGGCTGCTGCGGAAGCTGGACCGGCACATCATCCCGTTCATGTCGCTGATCTATCTGTGCGTCGGCTTTCCATCGCAGCAGCTTGTCTGGACGGCACCTCCTTCCTGCTTATAATCCGAAAACTGACCGGCTGGCGCCCCTCCCTCCCTCCCAGGCTCTGCTTCCTCGACCGCACCAACATCGGCAATGCGCGCCTCGACCACCTCGAGCAGGACCTGAACCTCCAGGGCCTGCAGTACAACGACTGCCTCGCCATCCTCTTCCCCTTCTACATCGCGGCCGAGATCCCGAGCAACATGATGATGAAGCGCGTGCGGCCCTCGCTCTGGCTCACCTTCATCATGGTCTGCTGGTCCGCCTCCATGATCGGGCAGGGTTTCGTCAAAAACTACGGGGGCATGCTCGCCACCCGCGCTTTCCTCGGCGTCTTCGAGGGCGGCCTTTACCCAGGCGTCAACTATTACATCACCCAGTGGTACCCGCGGCCCGAGTGCGGCTTCCGCATGGCCCTCTTCTTTTCCGCCGCCACCCTGGCCGGCGCCTTTGGCGGCATCCTGGCCCGCGGCATTGCCGAGATGAGCGGCGTCGGCGGCCTGGCGGCCTGGTCGTGGATCTTCATCCTCGAGGGCCTGCTCAGCATTCTCGTCTCCTTCACCGCCCCCTGGGCCATCCACGACTACCCCTCCGAGGCTAGCTTTCTGACCCCCGCCGAGCGGGACGAGGTGCAGCGCCGCCTGCGCGCCGATTCGGGCCACCTGACGGACGACTTCGACGTCCGGTACGTGTGGCAGGCCATCCGCGACTGGAAAATCTACATCCACATGCTCATCTGCATGGCCGGCTTCTGCCCCATCTACTCCTTCTCGCTCTTCCTGCCCACCATCGTCAAGAACATGGGCTACACGGCCAACAATGCACAGCTGATGAGTGTGCCGCCCTATGTTTTCGCCTGCTTCTTTACTATCGGTGCTAGTTACTACGCCGACAAGCTACAGAGGCGGGGTGTCTTCCTGATGGGCTTCCAGCTCGTCGGGATCCTGGGCTTCGCCATGCTCTGCGGAAGCGGCGACGCGTCCATCCAGTACGCGGGGACCGTTTTTGCGGCTATTGGTGGGTTTCCTAGTTTTGGCCTTCTTCGCCTGTGAGGTCGTCACACGTCCTGTAGGCGAAATTTGTGCTGACCTTTGGTGCCCCTTTTCGCTCCAGGGATATACCCACAGATACCTCTCGGCCTGGCATGGAACAGCGGCAACATCGGAGGCAGCCTGAAGAGGGGCACGGGAATCGCCATGCAGGTTATGGGAGGCAATTGCGGCGGCATTATCGCTTCCTACGTCTACCTGACCCGCGACGGGCCGCGATTCATCATCGGGCACAGCATCCTGATTGGATTCATCAGGTAAGCCGAAAACAGTCTTGCCCGTCTAAATGGCATACACAAACTTGGCTAATGGCACCGTCTTTCACGCACTCCTAGCATGGCATTCTTCCTCAGCGGTTTCATGTCATTGTGGTGCAAAAGGGAGAACGCTAGAAGGGAGGGGATCTCGCGCGAGCTGAGAGTCGACGAGCTCACCGAGGAGCAGAAGGGAATGGAGAGGGAACTTGCCGACAACGTCCCGTGGTTCAGGTACACCTGCTAAGGTGATGCAGCCAGACCAACCCACAGTCTAGCACCTTCGTGCCACTCGACTGTTTCATACAATTAGGTTGCGACAATCGGTTGCTGTTGTTCAAAGACAGGATACTAGATTAAAGAGGAAGCCATAGAACGCAAAAGGATATCGTAAAAAAACACCATGTACATATTAGGCAACCGAAGCAACAACGCTGTCGATATAAGGCAACACCCCCTGCGCCTTGTCATCCCCCAGCAGCGCCTTGTTCTGGTACGTCTCGATCGACAGCGCCGCCTCGATCTCCTCGAGCGTCGGCACCGGCTTGCGCTCATAGTTGACCTCCTCCGCATCCTCGATGACGTGCGGCACAAAGGTGGAGCAGTTGCCCGTGACGAGGTCGACGTCCTCGCGGATGCCCATCCCCGCCGGCTCGCCGTCGACCATCCACAGGCCCAAGACCGGGAAGAAGGCCTTGCCGGTCCTGTCGTCGGGGAAGCGCGGCAGCAGCGCCAGCTCCTGGACCACGTAGCCCTCCTTACCGTACTCGCCGGCGTCCGACTCGGACAGGACGCTCCCGTCGGCGCCGCCGCGCAGCGTCACGCCCGCGCCCTCGCGCGCGAAGATGGGCTTGCGCGCAAACTGCGTCATGCCCGCCGGCATCTCGGGCTCGAGGTACGTGGGCAGGAGCCACTGGCCCCTGGGGTCGTCCTTGAAGAGGTCCCAGAGGATGGCGAAGACGGCCTTGTTGCTCCAGAGCATCTTGTACGGCGCCTCGAACCAGATGGTCCCGCCGACGTACTCGCCCGTCGCCTCGTCCCTCTTGCCGACGTTTTCCATGTCGGCGAAGCACGCCTCGCCAGCTTTCCCCGTTACCTAAAACAGTCTAGAGTTAGCACCGAGTGCCTATACGTACCTAGAGCAACGCCTGCGCTAGGCGCGCAAGACAAATTAGAAATGGGGGGGACGACGTACCATCATCTCCCAGGGGTAAAGCTTGAATATGACATCAATGTGTTCACCGCCGATATCGTAAAAGCGGCCGTCGGGGCCCATCGCGATCAGGTCGAACCAGATCTTCTTGACCGCGTAGCCGGCCGCGGCGCACGTGGCGGCGAGGACCTCGGTGTTGACCTCGTCCTCGCCCGAGCAGTCGCCCATGGAGGCGAAGTGGACCACCTTTGGCCTGTGGCCCAGCGCCTTCTCGGCCTCGGCCAGGTTCCGCCGCCACGCCTCGACCAGGGACTCCTCGATGGCGTTGAACTGGTCGGGCCCGTGGCCCGTCTGCTCGAGCCAGTACCACTGGATGCTCGCGCCCTCGAGCAGGCTGGTTGGCGTGTCGGCGTTAAACTCGTAGAACTTTGGCACGCGCAGCCGCGGGTCCGGGTGGTCCAGGCCGCCGAAGCAGATGTCGAAGCGCGAGTAGACGCTGCCAAAGGCCGGCTCCCTGTCCCAGGACTCGACGATCTGGCGGAGGCAGTGGGCCGGGATGGCCATCTTGCCCGTGATGATGTGGGGGTTTTGGACGAGGTAGTCGGCCGCCTCGCACAGCATTTCGAACACGTCCCTGGACGCGCGCTCGAGCAGGTTGATCTCTTCGGTGGTGAAGGAATAGTACCGGTCGTCGGGCCAGTAAACTTCATGCTGGTGCTCGGGGGCAGGATCTTGGTTGAACACGAGCCCCTGACTCTGCACCAGGCGGCTGGAGTTGGGGCGGGGCTCGATGTGAACGCGACGCATGTTGGAGGAGTAAGGGGTGAAAGGTATAGAAGGGGTTTCTAGAGGGCGATGAAAGCGGAAGGATGACGAACGTTGTAGGGAGCGATGCGAGGTGAAATTAAGCAAGTAATGGCAAACCTCAGAGATTACACAGCTTAGTGGCAATCACGGAGGGAATGGAAGGGGCAGGAGTTGGTTGCAGTCGGGTTGTTTGTGTTTTGAAGTGATCTTGGAGAATTCTCCTATAGCTCCGGTGTCCATGACGCCAGGTTATAAACTGACGCAATGATAGACGGCGGCTCAAGGGCCGGCCTGTTGGCGATGCTGCACATATCCGCATGGTTCCGAAAATAAACCCATGCCACAACAGGTGCTGCCACAAGTTCGTTCTGGCTGCTTGATCTGGGCCACTATCGCCAGCATGGTCCTTTCTTGCTCTCACAGCCGCCCCCACAGCCACCACAGCCTGCCCCACAGCCGCCTGCGGGTTGGGTGTTGGGTGTAGCCCAGGTACCTGCACAGCCTACCGCGGCTGCCACAGCCACGCTGCAGCTTACTACACCACCTACTACACCACCAACGAGTGACACCACACCAGACACCAGATGTGGCAGTCTCGACCACTTTGATGATGATTGCATCTCATCCTTCCCACACGGCAAGCCAATCAGACATGCCAATTGACCGGGCCTCTTGCTGACTGTGAGCTTTGATTACCCCACTCCGCAACCTTAATCCTCCCGCCAACTACCAATCTCGTTGGTCCCCAACGCCTCAGCAGCCATAGGCCCGTATCAATTGTGCCGCAGCGCTTGTGCCCCAATCTGTTCGGCCTCAGCTGCCACAACAATGGCGTGAGTGCATTCGGAAGGAGGACTCCCTGTTCGGGACTCTCTCTTCGGCCGACCAAGAGCGTCCGATATGCAACTGGATCTACGTCTTGCTGGTATAAAGGTCTGGATATCTCTTCCACCATTGACGACTTCATTTCTCCCATCATCGCACACAAAGAATCCACTCTGCATCCTCACCGCAGCTTCCCATTTCCTTCTGTTTCTTCTTTTCCTTGAGTGTTTTCCTTTGCCCTCTTCTCTTCTCTCGCACCCGCCCTCTTATCGCTTCCATTTTCCCATCCCGTCCCACAACAACAAAACAACCACCACAAAAAAAAGGCAAACTCACCGCCACCATGAAGACCCAGCAGGTCTCCCTCCCGGCCCTCCAGCTCGCCGCCGCCCTCTACTTCGCCGAGGGGTCCGCCGCCGCCCCCACCGAGCCGGCCAGGGGAATGAGCGTCCACTGCGTCGACGCCTCGGGCACCGAGGTCGCCGGCAGCCTCTGCGACGGCAACCAGAAGCGCGGCACCTACTTCTTCGCCACCCGCGACGTCATCGACAGCACCGACAAGCTTGCCCGCCGCGGGGTAGGTCTGCCCGAGACCGGTGATTTGGAAAAGCGCACTACCGCTTCCCGCAAGAAGCACGGGGTCATCTTCCCGTGGGGTACCAAGCCCGGCGGCGGTAACCACGGCAGCTAAGCGACGCAGCTCATCTCAAAACAGGGTGACTTGTGACGTGGTTTGTCTCATTTCCAGTTACTTACCGGTCAAGCATTTTTTGCTTCTTGTTGGGATGGATGGAAGTGTTATCAAGGCCGGATGTCAATTGTATTCTTATCCAATAAGATTTTCTCGGCACAACAATACAGATGGTGCAACCCCGCATGGTCACACAGGTGTAGCTAGGATGCCGTGATTTGGCCATGAAATGTGCCCTTTTTGTCAAACACCACTGTGAATCGGCAGGCCTTGAGTTCGGTCAAGGCAAGGTGTGTTGGCCTCAAATTTCAGGCGGTTGCTATCCTGTAATCCCTGGAGGGCTTTCTGCAGGTATCCACAACGAACCGAGCCATCTCGGTATCAGTCGTCACCCAAGTACCAATGTCCTCCTGCTGGACTGACAGGTTTCCCATGCGCCCTTGGCAATCTTGGCCAAACCAACCCGATATGTGATGCCATTTTCCTCCCGAATGAACATGACATTTTGCGACTGGGGACTTCGCTCTACGTCCAACGAATGATCATGGTTGGTTTCCATCCGTTTGAGCTGCTCCTCGTCCACTCCCAGGTTTGTCGACAACAAAACAACATCGGCCTGCCTCTCCTTCAGGCCACCAAAATAGCTTTCCAAGAGCCAGACCTTGCCCAGCGGCTCATCTGAAGCCGAATGCATGGTCGCAATACAGTAGTAGTCCCCTTGAGCCTTGCTGCCGTCTTGATTACGCCATTGTACTTGCTGTCGGACTGTGATCTTGCCAACACTCGCAGTGAGTTTCAGAAGTCCATACGACATGTCCTTGGGCGAAGACGCGGAGCCATCAAGCGCGCCATCGGTGCCGGCCTCGCCTGATGCCTTGCGGGGCGGAATGTCCCAGAAGGCGTCCGGCGCGTCCACGGGATCGTGCCACTCAACCTCGGAGGCGATGGTGTCGCACAGGTGCTCGTCGTACCTGATGGCGGCCTGCCAAGACAGCCACGACCAGGACGGGAAGGGTAGGGTGCGGACCACCCCGTTCTTGGCGGCGACCTCGCACCTCTGGCGCCGCGGGTGCGGGCATGGGCAGAGGTGGTGTTCCTGCCAGACCATGGCAATATCGAGCTCCTGGAGAGGCAGGCCCCAGATGTGGACGTTGGGCATGCCTCTGGCGAAGGACTTGAGCATGCCGCTGAAGGCCCAGAGCGCGTCCCCTTGATTGGTGAATCGGCGGCGCGAGAAGTTGGCCACCATCTCGCAGTAGCTGTCAATCGGGCACTTGACCACCCCGTCCGGGTCTACCGTCGAGAACGAGTTCTGGCTATCCACCGGGCATCTCGGAGGCGCTGTCGGGCATGCCCGGCAGGCTCTGCCGTTGCTGCCACTGTCCCCGTCGCCGTCATGGTCTCGCGCCAGCTCTAAATCCTCGCGCCACGAGTCAACCTGGCAGGCCCAGTAGACCAGCCGGTCCGTGAAAACGAGTGTGCGACGGGCCAGCTTTGCCTCCTGGTACGTCCAGCCGCGAGTGTTCCATTGGCTGTGTTTGATGGCTTTTACCAGCGATGGCGCAACCACGGCGAGGCGATTTCCGTTCACGGTTCGGATGCACTGGGGCACCAAGGTGCGCGGGTTCGAAGCCACGCCCGGCAGGCCCGCCCAGCAGTCGGCGCCCGAAGCGGCAATCAGTACGACGGATGCCACTGAATAGATGGCGTCCATGATGGAGAGCTGCTGGTTCTTGTCGATGGGATCGTTCTGCACGATGCACAGCGAGTCGACCCAGAGATAGCGCTCACCCAGCGCAGCAGTGAGCTCGATGGCCTCGCGGATCGTCCGCGGGAGGGCCACCTCTCGTAGGCCTTGCGGCTCCGAGTACTCCTTCAGGTTTTCGGTTCTGAGGCAAGGCTGGCCAGCCGTGCCCCAAACATAAGACAAGGCCAGATACTTCTCCTCCGAAGTCACCGCCGTGATTCTGTATTCCTGGACATCGATGCAGCGCATCTTGGCCGCCTCCCCAAGCTGCATCTTTGCACAATCTGCCCCATGGGTCGTGTCACAGTGCCGCATCCAGTTCCTAATCAGCCCAACATCGATCTCCGGGTGCACCTCTCTCGCGACCCTAGGCTCCCAGACCCTTGCCACGGTCTTCCCTCGGAGAGGAGGGAGGATCCTTGCATGGCCGAGCTTCTTGGGGGAGTCTACCAGCGCCAAGGAGCCCCCGAACCAGTTTCCGACAATGATGGCAGCTAGCTCATCGTGGTGGATGCAGACCTCGTGATCAAGGCTTTTCTCGTCCGTCGGATCAACACCGTAGCGTGCCGCTGACAAGATCAAGTCGCACCCGTGGCAGGTACCAGCGTTCCGCGCCACGCCTCGCAGGGTGCCAATCTCGTATGTCATGAACATGGCCGCTAACCCATTCCCCGAATCCGAAGTTTGGTTTTGTTTCCGTACAGGAACCAAAGCAGTCGAGCGTAGCTGGCTGCGTTCCTGTTGATGGCATCCGCAGCCCAACCCGAACGCGAGCTCGTAAAAGTCGACTTTCCGGCAGACTGTACACAGCCCCGATGCATCTGGGCTGCTCGAGTCTACATCCCGGGTGAGTTTGGTCCACATTTCCTGCCCGCGGGGGACCATAAGCAAATGAGCATATGCTGGGTTTCCCAAATGCATTGTCCCGTCAATCTCTCGCGCTGAGAATGCCATTTGGGCGGGCGAATGGTCTAATGGGTGTCTTCAACTTGCAGGGTAATTAAGGATAGGAGACTAATTGGTCTAGGTGACACGACAGAGGTTGAGGATGGACAGCTGCAAATAGCGGCGGATCTAGGGGTTTTCGGGGGACATACGACAGATGCTGACAGGCCGCGGCTCGCGAATTTATAGGCTCGGAGAGGGGCATTTAAGCCACATTGTGCACATTGAACCTGACTGTCTCCCGCGCCCAAGAGCGGGGTTGATATGAAACAGCCAATAACGCGCGTAGCTCATTTTTCATTCGCGCGTTGCTTATGACCGACCTACAGAGGGCAGCCACACTGGGCGATAAAAACATTGATGAAGGATAGAGAATGAGAGAAATAAGAAGACTTGCTCACGCAAAATAACAAGTGGGTTAACGAGGAATATTTGGGGGAGCTGAAAAACTTGATAGGCAGTTCGCTGTCCGTTATACCATTTATCTCTTTTGTGTCATCAATATAATCATGGGACGTAAGGTTGTGTGCTACACCTTGCTTCCCTTTATATATGGTCGAAATTTCCGCCTTTCCAACACCTTAACTTGTTTTCTCTTTCATTCCTTTTTATTTTTCCTTGGAATGCTACCAGCTGCTGAAGAACCTCTCTGTCGCACGCGGTTGTGATAAATTCGCATAGCTCAAGGGAAGGATAAAAGCAGGTAACTGGGCACTCGGTTCCCATACATCTGCCTAGTTTCTTAATTTTTGATGGGTGCTAAATCATCTCCCTTTTGGCACACACAACCGCGGGATTTAACCAAAAGAACTTGCGTATATGGCGAGCCGGATATGCCTTTACGACTGATGAATGTCCTTTATTGCTTTCAAAACTTTAAATCAAAAGCTTCCCGTTTCCTGTCCGGGCTTGGGAACATTGAAGAATGTTCCCTTTTCCCATGCGCATGTTGTCCCTTTCTTTGGGACCTGGGCCCATCTGTGCACATCACCCGCACCTTCCCTTTGTTATTTCAAGCCTGCTCGACTTTTTCTCTGTATCTCTCGTTTTCAACCTACCATCCCGCACCGCGCCAGGTTCAGGCTACCACAAGCGACCCAAAGGCCTGCGCTTTCAGACAACACACGAAAAATATCCCAATCGTATTATCTTCGCAACATGATACGATCGTCGCTCGGAGCGACGCTCAAGGCGTCGATGAGGTTCAACGACCTCATCTTCGTCTCCCAGGGAAGGGAGCTCCCCGCACATCGCCTTGTCGTGATGACACGTTCGCCGGTCTTGGAGAAGTTAATCCAGTTAGGCGAGCTGGCCGAGGTTTGCAGATCACACGCTCGTCGGATGTTGAATCCCTAAATTGTAAGCTAAAACCACCCACTCATTCGAATCAGGTCGGCGGGAAGTGCATGATCCAGGTGAACTCGGCGTTCTCATCGTCCGCGGTTGAGTACTTGCTGGAGTACCTTTACACAGAGAGCTATGCCTGCCCATTCGCAATGGCAACAAAGAATGGTAAGCAGAAATTCTATATTGAGAAAGATCATTTGGATACCTACTAACCAGCTGCGAACATATCCGTAAAAACCGCCACGCCAGAGCCAGTCCACTCGGCAACCAGTGCCTTGGAGCTCACTGATGGAGACACCAACAAGCTCAAGGCCAACAACGACACTGCTACGATTGTCGGTGACCTCATCTCGTTCAACGATGAAGAGATGGGTCCGGTAGTCGATAGCGCCTTGGTCCACGCTGGTGACTCTGCTGGTTCTTCCCAGGAGAAGAGCAAGAGCCTGGTTGTCCAGGGAGCTTTGATTCAGCACCTCCATGTCCTCGGACTTGCCAACATGTACCAAGTCCGCGCGCTTGCCGACGTCGCCCGCGGCTATATAGCCAACATCCTTTCACACGTGTTTTCGGTTGGCCCTGCCTTGCAGGTCATCGAGGTGATGAAGACGACTGACAAGTTCGACGGACAGGTTTGGGACTTGCTTCGCAGCTGCATCATGCCCCACGTCCAGAGTCCTTTCGCTCGGCGTCTTCTCGGCGAAGTCTTCATTTTATGCGACAAGAATCGGAGCGATGCCCTGTGCCAAAAAAGCATCAACGACAATCTTAAATCTAGGGGACGTCTATACTGCCACAGACTTTAGCTATTCTACCACAGAATAGCGGGGTCACAGTGCAACACAGACTGTCAAGGTACCTCTGCTAGTTTGGGCGGAGGATCTGTGCTTTTGCTGGTCGATCAATGCCTGTCAGTAACGTGACTGTGTTCGTTGGTAAAGCCACGCCGCAAAAGTCTGGATACAAACGCAATTTCCCACCAAAACTTACAATTTTCGAACGCAAATAAAATAGCAAAATAAAATCGTAAAAATACATAATAAAATTTATTTCCGTAATGTTTTACAAAAATTTTAACATATATTTTTTCTAAATTTTTTAGCTTATCGTTGTTACAGTCAGGCCTCTGCTCCTAAGGTAGGGCACCAGAGGAGTATCGAACAGTAGCACGTAACTTAACAGATTGAGGGGATTTACAAGGTAACCTGGGTGCGGTTTGAATGCTTGCTCCAAAGGTTACTTGGAAGCTAACTAAAGTTTGACTAATGCCGAAGCCTTAATCAAAAATTGCTTAAAACAGTAAAAAACCCTTCCTTTTTATAGCCCGTTCCTAACGCTTGTTTCCACCCCTTTTTAAGGTGGTAACCTGTAATTTTGTCGACAAATTACAAATTACCTAAATAATTTGTAACCCTATTAACAAATTACGGGCGGCTTACTTAAGCTTTTTTTGGTAAGGGGCAAGCGCTTGCTTACCCTTCGCCTTTTTAGCTTCCTGTTCCGGCCGGGTGGTTGTTGGTTGTAACATTAAGTCCCTTTTCCACCGGCCAAGCCTTTTTGGCCTGTTTACGTCCATTTTTCCCATTGTTAGTCGTAAGTACTATTTTTCCTTACTGTTTAACCGTCCCTTTTTTTTAACAATGTCGGGTCGAATACAAAAACGCTTTGCGCGCTCGACCCTTTGGCGCAAAAACCTTTTTGCTTTGGTTTTTGCATCGGCTATCGATATAAATTCCTATTCTTTTTATCGGAACGTTTTTAAAAAAAATACCTGTTTTATTTTTCCGCAGGATTCCTTTCGTTGCGTGGAATGTTTTGTTTGCAACCGTTTTAGCTATAACATTTTGGGTTTTTTACTTAAACAATTGCGTTTTATCGGTTTTTAATACCAAAAAATCGAAACCGAAGTACGGGTTGTTAAAGCTAAGCGTTGCGCTTTAAATAACCGTTTCGAGCGTTTTCGCAAGCAAAAGGACCTTTGGCTTAAAAAGCAGCTGCGGGCTGTTAAAAGCACGGGCGAAACCGCCCGGTAAAAAGCGGGGAGCGTTAAAAAGACGGGCGAAACCGCCCGGCAAAAAAGGAAAAAGGGGGCGCTAGCAGCCAATCGGGCACGGACCTTTCCGGGGACATGCCGGCGAGCTACCGGTATCGCGGCCAAAACATAACGGCGAAGTTAAAAAATAGGGTAAATTTTAAATTGTACGAAAGCGCATAAAGCGCGGAAAATTTATAAAACCAACCCCGCGTACCCAAAAAGGCACAAAAAAAAGGAAAGTTAAAAAAAAACAATTTTTGTTAGCGATAGCACTTTTGGTAAAAAATTTACGGAAGCTTAATAAAAAAAATACCGCATTCGGCCCGTAACCCGGTAACCACCCGCTTTTGCACCAATTAACCCTTAACATATTGTTCCTTTTTTTACACTTTTTTTATTTAAGGGCAAGCCCGGGTAATTACCGGAAGGGATCGAGCAAGCTTAAAAAAAGCATTCGCGACTTTGCACCGCTTACAATAACGCTTAACGTTACGTTAAGCACGTTGGAAAAGGCCGCTAAACCACCGGAACAAAATACCAAAAAGCCCCGCAAATTTCCAACGATTTTAAAAACCTTTCCGTAAAAAAGCTGCAAAAAATAAACAACGTGCTAAAAGCCTAAAGCAAGCGCGCCCGTTTAATTTAAAAAATTTAAAATAAAAGGTAAAAGCATGCGCATAAAAGTTTAAACGAAAATAAAAAAAATACTTTTAAACAACGGAAAGGTTTTACGTAAAGCAAAATTACTTTTAAGCCTTTTATGTTTAAAAAATTGGCAATTTAGCAAAATATCGCCCATTACATTAGCAATTACAAATTTATTTTCGAAAGCAAAAAAGAACGTTACGGTAAAAACCGTATAAAGGTTTAAATAGCTTTTAGCACTTTCGATTATCGGCAACGGGTACAATGGACAAAATATAAGCAAATGCATTATTTAAATACCGGGGTATCGTTTATTTGGGCCAATTTTTCGCGGTAACTTTAAACAAAATTAAAAAACCCCAATTTGCAAATGTAATTAGCAATTAAAAAGCTTGCGGAAAATACCGTTATTAAATAAAAAAATTACAAATTGTTTAAAGCGTTTCGGATTTATTGGGATTTAATAAAAAATAACCTTTCCGAATTAATACCCAAATAAATAAAAACGATATTGCTTTTTAACCGGTTCCGCCCCAAAATCCAAAAACGGGTAATACTTGGAAGCTTTTTTTATATTATGGAAAAATTGCAAGCCAAAGTTTTTAAAGCAAAAATAATATTGGAACCGCATAAAGGAATGCCGGGGGATATAAATGTTTTAACCTTTAAAAAGCCGGTTACCTGCTTTAAATGCGGGCAATTAAACCATATCGTTGCAGCATGCAAAATACAAACGGATAACCCGGAAACCCCGTTAGTCCTAGCAACCACATAAAGGGCAAAAGGAAAAAGGCCCAAAGTACGGTGCTACAAGTATAGGAAATTGGGCTATATCCGGCCGGCGTGCCTTAAAAAAAGCAAAATATCGTTACCCAATTCGATACCGCTATTTGGCCGTTCGGGCACCGGGGCTTAAAAATGCGCCTTAACGGTTAAAATACGCTAAAAAACCGAAGTATGTTTATAAATTAACGGTTGCCGGGTAAAGTTAAAAGCGCTAATTAACAATGGGAGCAACGTTAATTTGCTGTACAACCGTTTTTTAATGGAAGCAAAAAAAATACCGGTGCCAAACGGGGGCTACTTAACGTAATTCGATACCAAAAAACGCATGCTTACGCTAAGGGTAAAAAAGTACAAAACTTGGGTAACGGATAGCTAAAAAATAACCCGAAAGTTAATGGTATTTTACGTAATAGTGCCCCGGGCCGGGTACAACATTACGTTAAGCATGCTTTAGCTTTAACAAAAGGATATTAAAATTTAATTTGGGGATATAAAATGAAAGTTCCCGGTAATTACCAAAAAGGTTAAAATAATTTCGTTGGAAATAACCAAAAAACTAATCCAATCGGGACAAACGATAGCCGTGCTAACGGTTGCACGCCCAAAAACCCCAAAAAACCCCGGGAAAAGGTTAAAAGCTTTCCCGGAATAAATTAAAGGAATGGTTGCAAAACATGCGCAACTTTATAAATTAAACCTTTTGCCAAAATATATAGGCTAAAACTACGCAATTAAATTGGAAAAAAAAACGATGCCGCTTTACAAAAGCATTTATTTTTTATCCAAAAAGGAATTAAAAACCTTCCGGGGATATTTTAATAAAGCTATAACGAAAAGTTAAATCCGGCATTTAATTAGCCCCGCCGGCGCCGGAATTTTATTTATTTTAAAAAAGGATGGGAAGCTCCGCCTTTGTATTAATTATTGGGGTTTTAATAAAATTATTAAGAAAAACCGGCTAGCATTCCCGTTAATTTACAAAATATTTAACCGGGTGTTTAAAAGCCAATACTTTACCAAATTGGATTTAAAAAACGCTTATTACAAAATACGGATCCAACAAAAAAACGAATGAAAAATTGCTTTCCGTTGCAAATATGGACATTACGAATACTTGGTAATGCTTTTCGGTTTGGCCAACGCTTTAACAACGTTTTAAAGCTTTATTAATATAGCGCTTAAAAAATTAATTAATAGCAATTGTATTGTATATTTAAACAATATTTTTATTTTTTCGAAAATATAAAAAAAGCACCGCGAAGCAATAAAAACGGTGCTGGAACGATTCGAACGGTTTAAGCTTTACGTTAGCCCGGCCAAATGCAAATTTAAAATGGATAGTATCGATTTTTTAAGGTTTAGGATAACCAAATTCGGGGTTAAAATCCTGCCGAACAAAATTATTGCGATTTTAAAGTAAAAAATACCGGAAAGCGTTAAAAACATTTAAATATTTTTAAACTTTACAAGGTATTATCGGAAATTCGTAAAAGGTTACGCGAAAATTATTATGCTTTTAACGAATTTTTTTAGTAAAAATACCGTATTTTACTTAAAAAGTATTGCAAAAAAGGCTTTTTGCAAATTAAAATTGCTATTTACGAAAACTTCGGTATTGGTGCATTTTGACCTTTTAAAATCGCTATGCGTGCGGATTAACGCTTTGGCTTTTGCGATAAGGGCGGTGCTATTGCAGCAGCAAAACGGCCGGTAGCACCCGGTAGCTTACATGTCGAAAAAACTGCAACAAAAAAAGCTACGCTATGCAATCCTTAATTTAAAATTGCTAGCAATCGTAAAGGCTTTTAAAAAGTAACGGCATTACTTGGCTTATTTACAAAAAATTATGAAAATAATTACCGACCATTTAAACCATACCTATATTTTAACAAAAAAAAAAGTAATAAAGCGCTAAATAAAATGGTTTAAAAATTTAGCAAAGTACGACTTTACGATTAAATGGAAGCTAAAATACCGGAACCTTACGAATAATTTGTTAAAACGTTTTTAAAACATGCCCGTAAACGGGAAAACTAATATGGCAAAAAAAAAAGTCCAAAACGATTTGCTAGCTAAATTCCGAAAAGCAACCCACGTAAAAACAACCATTACTAAAAGGAATACCAAAATAATATTAAAGCGCATTTTCGAAATATAAGCAAAAAACGATTTCGTTTAAAGCGGTACTTGGAAAAACAAATTTAACGTTTGGGAAATTAGCAACGGCTTGCTTAAGCACAAAAAAAAATTTAAATTTCGAATTTAGCACCGCTTAAACGGATAATGCTTTGGGAACAATACGATAACTCGATAAAAGGTTACAAAAGCATGGCCAAAACTTTAAAAAAGCTTAAACGGCAGTTTAAATGGCCGGGTATGGCTAAAAACGTACGCAAATACGTACGAACGTATTAAATATGCCAATAAATAAAGCTAAAAACACAAGCACTTTACGGGCTATTAGCACTTTTGCCCGTACCAAACCGCCCGGAACAAAAGCTATCGATAAATTTTATCGAAAAGTTTTTAACGTTAATAAATAAAACCGGTAAAAAGCGCAATGCAATATTGGTAATGGTCGACCGGTTTATTAAATATAGCTTTTTTATTTTAACGTTTACGAAATTAATTAATAAAAAATTGGGAAACCTTTTATTTGCATACGTTTGGGGGTTGCTAAAAACGCCCGAAAGGATTATATCGAACCGGAATAAGCTATTTACAAACGGGTTTTAAACAACCTTTACCGAACATTTAAAAGTTGCAAAAAAGCTATCGATAGCATACCATTTTTAAACCAACGGGCAAACGGAACGAACGAACCAAGCAATAAAGCATTACTTCCGGTGCTTTTGTTGCAAAAGGCAAAACGATTGGGCGTTGCTATTGCATTTAGCAGCATGGGTGCATAATACGAACGTGCATTTGGGGTTGCAAAAAACCCCGGCGTTTTTGTTAATAAGGTTTTACTTACGAAAGCTTTATAATTTTCGGGTAGTTAAAAAAAAACCTTTAATAACGGTTAAGGTTAAGGCGGGGGCTTTGGAAGCAATTAAAAAGCAAGCTAAAAAATTGCTAAAAAAAGCGAATAATACGTACAAAAAGTATTATAATAAAGGCAAAACCCCGGTGCTTTTCGGGGTAAGCAATTGGGTATTACTAAGTACGGCGAATATTAAAATAAAAAGGCCGTTAAAAAAATTGTTGCACAAATGGTTGGAACCTTTTTAAATTTTAAAAATGGTTAGGTTAGCCGGTTTGGCGTTCCGGTTAAAGCTTTCGGTAAATTACCGAATATATAACGTATTTCCGGCAAATTTATTGCGGGCGTTTAAAAAAAAGCCCAACGAAAAACCAAAAAAAAAAACCAAAAATCGAAAAAAAAAAAAGGATCGCTTTAAAGTAAAAGTTTTGCTAAAATATAAAAGGCTTTTGCAAAAACGAAAATATTTGGTTAAATGAATAAATTACAACGAATTGGAAAATTTGTAAATTCCAAAAAAGGATATTACGAAAAAAATTATTTAAACGTATAAAGCAAGCTTATTAAAAGCAAACTTACAGGATAAGGAAAATACCGGACCTTAGCGGGTAAATACCCGGAAAGGATGGGGGTATTACAGGAAAAAAGTAATAAAGGCCAAAAAAAAGGCCCAAAAGAATGTTTTAACGTGCCGAACCGGCTGGTTACCGGGGAAAAACGTAAAAAACCCGTAAACGGTTTGTAATAACCGTAAAATATTGTGCTTTATAAACAAAAAGTTAAATAAAAACGGTATAATACGGGGAACGTTTTAAATTAATGGTGCGATATATTTAAATTCCAAAAAACATGCAAAGTATAGCACATTTCGGAAAGCCCGTAAAGGGCATGCTTAACGCAATACGTTAAAGCAATTACCGCATTTTAAATGTACGTTATGGTAAAAAATACCATTGCTTGCCCGAAAAAAAAGTAAAAAAATTTCCGAATGGTATGGCGGACGGGCCTAAGCGTTTGGGTAGCGGCAAATGCATATTAACGGTATTTAAACCCATTAAAGGAACAAAAAAAAAGCATTTGGAAATTATTTATTAAAACATTAAAGCTTAATTAGTAAATATGGATACCAAAATTTCGCAATGCTGCAAAAGCAGCATAACGAAAAGAAATTATAATTATAATTATAACAAATTAACGAAAAAACTTAAAATTAACCACTTTTTAAAAAGGAAATACCAATAATTAATTAGGAAAATATGTAAGGAAAATCGATTAATAGCCAAATTTAAAGGAACCAATATTTCCGGAAACCAGGTTTTTATTATATCCCGGCATTTCGAAGAACGCCGTGTCCTTACGGGGAGCCGCGCGGCTGTAAGCTTGGGTATTCGAATGCGCCGCAATTGCGGCAAAGCTAACGGCAATGCTACCAAAAAAAGCAACCACACCTTTTTCGAAACGCTTAAAAAACGCTTTTATTTCGTTAAAACGGTTTTTAATGGCAGCTAAAGCCTAAATTTGCTTTTTTGTTTAAATGGAAATGGTGCGGAAATATTGGAACATTTTTTAAGTAACTTCCAATATTGCAATGCGGGCAGTTTTGCGTTCGATGCGCTTTTAAACAACGGCTTAACGCTCGTAGCGCGCAAGCTATTCGGCCGATATGGTATGGAAAGATTTAGCTTTTTGGATAGCTTTGCAAGCGCGAAATTGGGCTTTAATAAGCTTTTCGAAAAGCTCCGGTATTGCTTTAAAAAACCGTTTGTAAATAACGTTTAGGATTTTGTTAAAATTTTGGGCTATTTCCCAAAACCATTCGGAAAGCTCGATATAAACCTTGTTGCTAATTACGTTTTTGCAATAAATGCATTTGGCGAACCCCGTAATTGTTAAAAGCACGGGCGAAACCGCCCGGCAAAAAGCGGGGAGCGTTAAATGCACGGGCAAAACCGCCCGGCAAAAAAGGAAGAAGGGGGCGCTGGCAGCTAACCGGGCACGAACCCCCCGGAAACATGCCAGCAAGCTACCAATATCGCGGCCAAAGCATAATGGCGAAATTAAAAAATAAAATAAAGCTTAAATTGTACGAAAGCGCTTAAAACGCGGAAAATTTAAAAAACCGACCCCGGGTGCCCGAAAAGGCACGAAAAAAGGGAAGGTTAAAAAAAGAACAATTTTTATTAATAATAGCACTTTTAGTAAAAGATTTACGGAAATTTAACAAAAAAAACACCGCATTCGGCCCGTAACCCGGTAATTACCCGCCTTTGCACCGATTAACCCCTAACATATTGTTCCTTTTTTTATACCTTTTTTATTTAAGGAATAAGCCCGGGTAATTACCGGAAAGGATCGAACAAGCTTAAAAAGGGCATTCGCAATTTCGCACCGCTTACAATAACGCCCGACGCTATATTAAGCACGTTGGAAAAGGCCGTTAAACCACCGGAACAAAATACCAAAAAAACCCCGCAAATTCCTAACAATTTCGAAAACCTTTTCGTAAAAAAATTGCAAAAAATAAACAACGCGCTAAAAGCCTAAAGCAAACGCGCCCGTTTAATTTAAAAAATCCAAAACAAAAGATTAAAGCATGCGCATAAAAATTTAAATAAAAATAAAAAAATACTTTTAAATAACGGGAAGGTTTTACGTAAAGCAAAGTTATTTTTAAACTTTTTATATTTAAAAAATCGGCAATTTGGCAAAATATTGCCCATTATATTAACAATTACAAATTTATTTTTAAAAGCGAAAAGGAACGCTACGGTAAGGACCGTATAAAAGTTTAAATAACCTTTAGCACTTTCGACCATCGTCGGCGGGCATAATGAACAAAATACAAGCAAATGTATTACCCAAATACCGGGATATCGTTTATTTGGGCCGATTTTTCGCGGTAGCTTTAAACAAAATCGAAAAACCCCGATTTGCGGATATAATTGGCGATTAAAAAGTTCGCGGGAAATACCGCTATTAAACAAAAAAATTACAAATCGTTCGAAGCGTTCCGGATTCGTTAGGATTTGGTAAAAAATAATTTTTCCGAATTAGCATTTAAATAAACAAAAATAACATTACTTTTTAACCGGTTTCGCCCCGAAATCCAAAAACGGGTAATATTTAAAAGCTTTTTTTACATTATAAAAAAATTGCAAGCTAAAGCCTTTAAAGCAAAAATAATATCGGGACCGCATAAAAGGACCCCGGGGGATACAAATATTTTAACCTTTAAAAAACCGGTTACTTGCTTTAAATGCGGGCAATTAAACCATATCGTTACAATATGCAAAATACGGACGGATAACCCGAAAACCCCGTTAGCCTTAGCAACCATACAAAAAGCGAAAAGGAAAAGGCCCAAAGTACGGTATTACGGGTATGGGGAGCTAAGCTATATCCGGCCGGCGTGCCCCAAAAAAAGCAAAATATCGCTACTTAACTTAATACCGCTATTTGGCCGTTTAGGCACCGGGGCTTAAAGGTGCGCCCCAACGGCCAAAACGCGCTAAAAAACCGAAATGTATTTACGGATTAACGGTTGCCGGGTAAAGTTAAAAGCGCTGGTTAATAATAAAAACAACGTTAATTTATTGCACAACCGTTTTTTAATGGAAGCAAAAAAAACGCCGGTGCTAAACGGGGGTTACCTGGCGTAATTCGATATTAAAAAACGCATGCTTACGCTAAGGGTAAAAAAATATAAAATTCGGGTAACGAATAGCTAAAAAATAACCCGAAAATTAATAATATTTTACGTGGTAATGCTTTAGGCCGGGTACGACATTACGTTAAGCATGCTTTAATTTTAACAAAAGGATATTAAAATCCGGTTTGGGGATATAAGGTAAAGGTTTCCGGTAATTACCAAAAAAGTTAAAATAATTTCGTTGGAAATAGCTAAAAAATTAATCCAATCGGGATAAGCGATAGCCGTGCTAACGGTTGCACGTTCGGAAACCCCGGAAAACCCCGGGGAAAGGCTAAAAGCTTTCCCGAAATAAATTAAAAGGATAATTATAAAATATGCGCAATTTTATAAATCGAACCCTTTGCTAAAACATATAGGTTGGAATTACGCGATCGAATTGGAAAAAAGAACGATATCGCTTTACGAAAGCATTTATTTTTTATCCAAAAAGGAATTAAAAACCTTTCGGGGGTATTTCGACGAAGCTATAGCAAAGGGTTGGATTTGGCATTTAATTAGCCCCGCCGGCGCCGGGATTTTGTTCGTTTTAAAAAAGAACGGGAAGCTTCGCTTTTGTATCGATTATCGGGGTTTTAATAAAGTTATTAAAAAAAACCGGCTAGCATTTCCGCTAATTTACAAAATACTTAACCGAATGTTTAAAAATTAATACTTTACCAAGCTAAATTTAAAAAACGCTTATTACAAAATACGGATCCGATAAAAAAACGAGTAAAAAATTGCTTTTCGTTGCAAATATGGACATTACAAATACTTAATAATGCCTTTCGGTTTGGCCAACGCCCCAATAACGTTTTAAAGTTTTATTAATATAGCGTTTGGAAAATTAATTAATAGTAATTGCATTGTATATTTGGATAACATTTTTATTTTTTCGAAAATACAAAAGGAGCACCGCGAGGCAGTAAAAACGGTGCTAAAGCGATTCGAACGGTTTAAACTTTACGTTAGCCCGGCCAAATGCAAATTTAAAACGGATAATATTAATTTTTTAGGGTTTAAAATAACCAAATTTGGGGTCGAAATTTTGCCGGATAAGGTTGTTGCGATTTTAAAGTAAAAAATACCGGAAAGCGTTAAAAATATCCAAATATTTTTAAATTTTACGGGGTATTATCGGAAATTCGTAAAGGGCTACGCGAAAATTATTGTGCTTTTAACGGACTTTTTTAGCAAAAATACCGTATTTTACTTAAAAAATATTGCGAAAAAGGCTTTTTGCAAATTAAAGTTATTATTTACGAAAGCTTTGGTATTAGTGCATTTTAACCTTTTAAAACCGTTATGCGTGCGGATTAACGTTTCGGCTTTTGCGATAAAGGCGGTACTATTGCAATTGCAAGACGGCCGGTAACACCCGGTAGCTTACATGTTAAAAAAGCTACGATAAAAAAAGCTGCGCTATGCAATTTTTAATTTAAAATTGCTAGCGATTGTAAAAGCTTTTAAAAAGTAACGGTATTATTTGGCCTATTTACAAAAAATTGTTAGGGTAATTACCGATTATTTAAACCATACCCATATTTTAATAAAGGAAAAAGTAACAAAGCGCCAAACAAAATGGTTCGAAAATTTAGCAAAGTATAACTTTACGATTAAATGGAAGCCAGGATACCGGAACCCCGCGGATAATTTGTTAAAACGTTTTTAAGATATACCAATGGACGGGGAGGCCGATATAGCAAAAAAGGAATTCCGAAGCGATTTATTGGCCAAATTTCGAAAAGTAACTTACGTAAGGACAACCATTATTAAAAAGGATACCAAAACGATATTAAAGCGCATTTTCGAAATATAAATAAAGGACGATTTCGTTTAAAACGGCATTTGGAAAAACAAGCCTAACGTTTAAAAAATTAACGACGGCCTATTTAGGTATAAAGGAAAAATTTAAGTTCCGAATTTAGCACCGCTTAAACGGGCAATGCTTTAAAAATAATACGATAACCCGACGGGGGGTTACAAAGGCATAGTTAAAATTTTAAAAAAGTTTAAACGGTAATTTAAATAACCGGGTATGGTTAAAAACGTACGCAAATACGTACGGACGTATTAAATATGCCAATAAATAAAGCCGAAAATATAAATACTTTATAAATTGCTAGTATTTTTGCCCGTGCCAAACCGCCCGGGACAAAAGTTATTAATAAATTTTATTGGAAAATTCCTAACGTTAATAAATAAAACCGGCAAAAAGCGCGACGCAATATTGGTAATAGTTAACCGGTTTATTAAATACAGTTTTTTTATCCTAACGTTTACGAAATTAATTAATAAAGGATTGGGGAACCTTTTATTTGCATACGTTTAGGGGTTGCTGGAAATGCTTAAAAGGATTGTATTAAACCGGGACAAGCTATTTACAAACGGGTTTTAAATAACCTTTGCCGGATATTTAAGGGTTGTAAAAAAGCTATCGATAGCATACCATTTTTAAACCGACGGGCAAACGGAACGAACGAACCAAGCAATAAAGCATTACTTCCGGTATTTTTGCTACGAAAAGCAAAACGATTGGGCGTCGTTATTGTACCTGGCAATGTAAATGCATAATACGAGCGTGCATTTAGGGTTGTAAAAAACCCCGGCGTTTTTGTTAATAAAGTTTTACTTACAAAAGCTTTATAACCTTTGGGTAATTAAAAAAAAACCTTTGGCAACGGTTAAGGTTAAGGCGAGGGCTTTGGAAGCAATTAAAAAGCAAGCCAAAAAATTGCTAAAAAAAGCGAATAATATGTACAAAAAGTACTATAATAAAGGCAAAACCCCGGTGCTTTTCGGGGTGGGTAATTAGGTATTGCTAAATACGGCGAACATTAAAATAAAAAGGCCGTTAAAAAAGTTATCGAACAAATGGTTGGGACCTTTCCAAATTTTAAAAGTGGTTGGGTTAGCCGGTTTGGCGTTCCGGTTAAAGCTTTCGGTAAATTACCGGATATATAACGTATTCCCGGCAAATTTATTGCGGGCGTTTAAAAAAAAGGCCCGGC